CCAAAATATTCTTTATGAAGCACTTTTCAGACTGGTAAAATATTCTGAAGGTAGCCAGCAAAAGGATAGTACCAAATTCCAGTAACTTAAACAACATGCATCCATCAGGCAGGTTAAGAGGGCATTCAGAATGGTACCACATTTAAACAAATAAACAAACCTTAACCATAACCTTATTTTTAGACATTAATCTCTGTTGTGGCCGGCCAGCTCCTGCTTTGGTGGGATGCCCCAGCATGCAATGGGCCATTACACCAAAACTTGGAACATGTTGGAAGTATGGAGACAGGAGCCCAGTTTGCAATTTAGGTGTATATCCAGAGGGACTGTTTACTATACAGCATATGCAGCGTTGCTGTAACAGTGTTGGTCCCAGATTGGGACCACATCCTGAAAGAAATCTTTCCTGGACCCACTCTTCTTGCCTTCAGACAACGCCCCAACATCATCATCAGAAGCAAGCTCCTCACAGACGAGGGACACATCAACTCAAAGTGGCACCTGACCCTGCTAAAACAACAGGTGCAAAACCTGCAGACATACCTCCCCTGCTATGATGATCAACACCCTCCACAACACACCTTTCAAGGTCAGTGGGTCCTATATATGCCTATCACAACATGTGGTGTACTTCATCTAATGCACTAAATGCCCCAATAATAACTAAGTGGGTGAAACCAATCACTGCGCTCTCACATGAACTCTCACAGAAAAACGATAAAAGATAAATACCATATCCCCTGTGGGTGAACACTTTTTACAGAGCAATCATAGAATATCAGGGTTGGAAGGGACCCCAGAAGGTCATCTAGTCCAACCCCCTGCTCGAAGCAGGACCAATTCCCAGTTAAATCATCCCAGCCAGGGCTTTGTCAAGCCTGACATTAAAAACTTCAAAGGAAGGAGATTCCACCACCTCCCAAGGTAACCCATTCCAGTGCTTCACCATCCTCCTAGTGAAAACGTTTTTCCTAATATCCAACCTAAACCTCCCCCACTGCAACTTGAGACCATTACTCCTTGTTCTGTCATCTGCTACCACTGAGAACAGTCTAGATCCATCCTCTTTGGAACCCCCTTTCAGGTAGTTGAAAGCAGCTGTCAAATCCCCCCTCATTCTTCTCTTCCGCAGACTAAACAATCCCAGTTCCCTCAGCCTCTCCTCATAAGTCATGTGTTCCAGCCCCCTAATCCTTTTTGTTGCCCTCTGCTGGACTCTTTCTAATTTTTCCACATCCTTCTTGTAGTGTGGGGCCCAAATCTGGACACAGTACTCCAGATGACGCCTCACAAATGCCGAACAGAGGGGAATGTTCATGTCCCTCAATCTGCTGGCAATGCTCCTACTTATACAGCCCAAAATGCCGTTAGCCTTCTTGGCAACAAGGGCACACTGTTGACTCATATCCAGCTTCTCGTCCACTCTAACCCCTAGGTCCTTTTCTGCAGAACTGCTGCCAAGCCACTCTGTCCCTAGTCTGTAGCGGTGCATGGGATTCTTCCGTCCTAAGTGCAGAACTCTGCACTTGTCCTTGTTGAGCCTCATGAGATTTCTTTTGGCTCAATCCTCTAATTTGCCTAGGTCCATCTGTGTCCTATCCCTACCCTCCAGCGTATCTACCACTCCTCCCAGTTTAATGTCATCTGCAAACTTGCAGAGGGTGCAATCCACACCATCCTCCAGATCAGTAATGAAGATATTGAACAAAACCTGCCCCAGGACCAACCCTTGGGGCACTCTGCTTGATACCAGCTGCCAACTAGACATGGAACCACTGATCACTACCCACTGAGCCTGATGATCTAGCCAGCTTTCTATCCACCTTACAGTCCATTCATCCAGCCCATACTACTTTAACGTGCTGGCAAGAATACTGTGGGAGACCGTCTGATCTCTCAGTCCTCATCCTCAAAGAAAACCAGCACAAAACCTTCAAAAGACAAGCCTGGGACGTTACATTCATAACTTTACTAGACACTAAAAATCATGGACTGAACAGAGACACTGGATTTAATTGGAATTAATTTGCAAACTGGACACCATTAAATCGGGCTTGAATAAAGTCTGCGAGTGGATGGGTCATTACACAAAGTAAAACTATTTCCCCATGCTTATTTTTTCCCCCTGCTGTTACGCACACCTTCTTGTCAACTGTTGGAAATGGGCCATCCTGATTATCACTACAAAAAGTTTTTCTTCTCCTGCTGATAATAGCTCACCTTAATTGATCACTCTCATTATAGTGGGTATGGCAACACCCATTTTTTCATGTTCTCTGTGTATATATACACATCTTCCTACTGTATTTTCCACTGCATGCATCCAATGAAGTGGGTTTTAGTCCATGAAAGCTTATGCTCAGATAAATTTGTTAGTCTCTAAGGTGCCACAAGTACTCCTCGTTCTTTTTACTAGATTTAATGTTTATTACAACAATCTATAATCCACTAAACATTCCCTCAGCTCCCCGCCCACCCATGATTGGAGAAGTGTTAACAAGCCACTTCACCTTGAATGGTCCCTTGAAATATGTGTTAACTACTTATGCTAAACAATCTGTTCCACCTCTATTTATCTGCGACACTGGGTACATTTCCCAGATCTGAGAAGAAGCTCTATGTAATCTCAAAAGCTTCTCTCTCTCACTAACAGAAGTTGGTCCAGTGAAAGCTATTACCTCACCGACTTTGTCTCTATTATACAGTGGATTATTCCCTGAATCTAGTGTTCTCTGAAGACTGATTTATAGGGTCGGGGATGGGGGTGTAACAGAAGTGAGAAGCTGAGCCAGTTTTGATAAAGCCTGGGACTTCAGTGTTGTGACATCAATGAAGGTCACAAGCAGTAATTTCTATTTTTTATTAAGTCACAATGTAAGAACTACATATATGGATGTCTAGAACACTGATATCATAAAAGTGATAAATTGCCAGTCTCAGAGATACGTTTATTAAGAGAATTTATGGAGCACTTCTGTGGTACAAAATATTTTTAAATCATGTCACAGTACATTATATATAATTGCAACCTCCTTGTTATAGATCACCAGATGCCATGACCCAGAAAAACACCTTCTCTCCACTGAATACAATGTAGTTACCATGTACCATGTCACAATGAACTCAGATTAGTCTCTAGAGCATATTGGTCCACTCCATAAAACCACCACCAATCTCTGCTAAAGAGAAAGATCACTGGTATTGGAATGGTAAGACTGCTGCACAGAATAAAAGGGAGGTGCATTAACATAGATGTATCTATGGAACTGTGCATGATGTATCTTTTACTATAGCTGCCTCTAAATCACAACTTAACTGCATATGGAATTCTGAGTATTAATCTTTAGTACATTAACATTAGCCAACCTGCCAGCTAAATGAACACTCAAGAATCTACTGTCCAGTCTCCAGAGGGTTAACAAGTCATTTTTTCAAAGTCCTCCCAAATCATACAACCAAAGCTATAACAAGGACAGTGATTCATTATTAAACTTGTCAAACATGGTTTGCAAATCCCACTGTGAATTCTGAAAGCTCTTGTGTTTATAATATACACTAGGGCTAAACACCAGAGCTCAAAGACGTCATCAATTGAACACTTTCAGTATGCCCACCAGAATCTCTCTGCTCTGTCTTCAAGGACTGGGGCAAGGCCTTTCTAGTCATATTTATTTATTTGGGACCATTTTTCCTCCCTTTTCAACAGATTTTCTTTTTCATTTTTATGTATCGAGTGTGCACATTGGGTAGAGGTTACTCTGTTGAAGTGTGGCTAAGTTGGGTCACTGCAGCTTGGTTTAAGTGTTGTATATATATATTCTGTTCAGCATCCACACACAGAGATGCATACTGTAGAAAATATATAAATATAATAGAATCATAGAAATGTAGGGCTAGGAAGGGACTTTGAGAAGCCATCTAATCCATCCCCCTGATGCTGAGGCAGGACCAAGTAAACCTAGATCATCCCTGACAGATGTTTAACTCGTCCTTAAAAACCTACAATGACAGGGATTCCCCAACCTCCCTTGGTAACCTATCCCAGTATTTAACGATCCTTATGAAGTTTTTCTTAATATCTGACCTAAATCTTCCCTGCTGCAAACTAAGCTGATTACATGGAGAACGACTGATCACCACCTTCTTTATAACTGTCCTTAACATATTTGAAGACTTATCAGGTCCCCCTCCTCAATCTTCTCTAGACTAAATATGCTCTATTTTTTAAAAAAATCCTTCCTCTTATGTCAGGTTTTCTAAACCTTCTATCATTTTTGTTGCTTTCCTCTGAACTCTCTCCAGTTTATCCACATCTTTCCTAAAATGTGGTTCCCAGAACTAGAACAGTACTCCAGTGCTGAGTAGAGCAAAACAATTACTTACCTCCTGTGTCTTACATACAACATCCTGTTAATATCCCCGTCTTTTTTGCAACTGCATCACATTGTTGACTCATATTCAATTTGTGATCTACTGTAACCCCCAGATCCTTTTCTGCAGTACTACTGTCTAGTCAGTTATTCCTCAAGTTGTAGCTGGACATTTTATTTTTTCCTTTCTCAGTGTAGTACTTTGCACTTGTCTTTACTGGATTTTATCTTGTTGTTTGCAGACTAATTCTCCTATTTGTCAAGGTCATTTTGAATTCAAATCCTGTCCTCCAAAGTGCTTGCAACCCCTCCCAGCTTGGTGTCATCTGCAGATTTTATAAGCATACTCTCCACTCCATTATCTAAGACATTAATGAAAATATTGAACAGTACAGAATCATGCAGGACCCCACTAGATATAACGTTCCAGTTTGACCATGAATCATTGATAATTACTCTGAAAAATAGTTTTTCAACCAGTTTTGCATTCACTTTATAGTGATTTAATCTAGAGTAAATTAATTTGACCCAAAGTAAGAGATCTTGAATATCCTAGTCTAACTTGTTTGCCTGGAATTCTCTTTTCCTTGATGACCTGTAGAAGGCCGGCTTGTGAGACAGAACACCTACCGTTTTGTAAAGTTGTGCTTTCAGTCGGTATGAAGTATATTCAGATTTTCTTTTCTCTTCCTCTCGCCTCTTCTGCACCTCAGGCAGCTGTTCATAGATTCTTAGTGTAAATACAAAATAAAGACAAAAAAAGTTACTTGGGAATAAAGGACCTTGGAGATAAAAAGCAGGATGCTTTTTTCACTAACGTTCTCTCAAAGGCTTCTGGCCAAATATAGCAGAGAAAGATTATCTTTTGGGGTAGCTAGTGTCATGGAGGCCAAACGTGGAATACACGATCACAGCCAGCCATGGTACTGGAAGTTTCCACATCCCACAATGCCATTCATTGAAGTATCACCCCCTAAAAGAGTATTTTTGGGAGTAATGTCAATGATACGGCAGCACTCTCCAAAAAGTGCAAATTTCAGGATCACCAGCAGAGAATGGTGCCACCAGTGGATAGGCACGTTGGGTTCCAAATACCAAGTTTATCTGTAAATGGTAGATATTTTTGTGGCAAGAAAGCACTTGAAATGGATCAAATTTGGCAGAATCATCTGTGATATCCAAAGATCTAGGGCCAGATTTTGCCCTCTCCTCCTCTTGAGCCTCCCCCAGGCAGGAGCCAGGAATAATGGGAAGCCTTGAACTCAGGAAGCATAAGGACTAGGATCTCTGCAAGGCCAGTGCTGCTGTTGCCAGTTCTGTACAGTGATCAGGATCTTAGTCTCCCTTCTACACACTGGCTAGGCACAGAAGGCAACAGACTCTGTACCCTCTTCCTAGGGTTGGCACAGGAGCTGTGCTCAGCCCACACTCCCCAAAGCTCTGAGTCTTGTGTCTGCTTTAAGACTGGAAACTGCTAATTTCATGAAAATGGCTGCCAAGTTCACGTAGGACTGAATGCCTCCAATAATAAAAAAAATAATTGGAGCAGAGACACTACCATATTCTGAATGGTCAGCCTGGTATAATACTTAAACAGGAGAAACTGTACCTTGCTTCTTTTCTCACAGATTCGAGATCGAGTGACTACAGTAGAAATTTTCTACACACACCATGTTGTACCTAAAATATATTCTTTTAAGAGATTGATTGCTTTGCTCTTTTATGCAATAGATTTCATCAGATCACGGTCTACAATGCCAGAGGGAACTGGAAGCAGATTTTCTCTTAAACACATTTATTCCTTCAACTGGTAATCATTTGAAATGGCTTCAGTTTATTCTGTTTTGAGGATGAGGGATACACAGTGTGACGTGGCAAGGCCAGATGGCTATGGAAAAGTAGTGGGAGATAGATATATTAGCTCCAGGCTAAACAAATCCCTGGTACCAGGATAAGTGAAATGGCAGCTGCTCCAGGTCAGGTAAGACACCTGGGACCAATTAAGAACTTTCCAGAAGGCAGGGAGAAGGCTAGGTTGATTGGGACACCTGAAGCCAATCAGGGGCTGCCTGAAACTAGTTAAAAGCCTCCCAGTTAGTCAGGTGGGGTGCACGTCAGGAGCTGTGGGAGGAAGTTGCACTGTTGGAGAGGCTGAGTAGTACACACCGTATCAGGCACAAGGAAGGAGGCCCTGAGGTAAGGGTGAAGTGGAGCTTGAGGAAGTGAGGGCTGCTGTGGGGGAAGTAGCCCAGGGAATTGTACATGTCATGTTTCTAAAAGGTCAGCTACCATAGCTGATACTATTATGGTCCCTGGGCTGGAGCCCGGAGTAGAGGGTGGGCCCAGGCTCCCCCCTGACCTTTGCCCCCTGATTAATCACTGAGACTGGGAGAAAACAGAGACTGTGCAAGGAAAGATAACTTCTCCTCACCTCCCTCGCTGGCTTATGATGAAAATGGCTCAGTAGACTGAAAAGGAGTACTTGTGGCACCTTAGAGACTAACCAATTTATTTGAGCATGAGCTTTCATGAGCTACAGCTCACTTCATCAGATGTATACCGTGGAAACTGCAGCAGACTTTATATACACACAGAGAATATGAAACAATACCTCCTCCCACCCCACTGTCCTGCTGGTAATAGCTTATCTAAAGTGATCAACAGGTGGGCCATTTCCAGTACAAATCCAGGTTTTCTCACCCTCCACCCCCCCACACAAATTCACTCTCCTGCTGGTGCTAGCCCATCCAAAGTGACAACTCTTTACATAATCAAGTCGGGCTATTTCCTGCATAGATCCAGGTTTTCTCACATCCCCCCCACCCCCATACACACACAAACTCACTCTCCTGCTGGTAATAGCTCATCTAAACTGACCACTCTCCAAGTTTAAATCCAAGTTAAACCAGAACATCTGGGGGGGGGGGGGGGTGGTAGGAAAAAACAAGAGGAAACAGGCTACCTTGCATAATGACTTAGCCACTCCCAGTCTCTATTTAAGCCTAAATTAATAGTATCCAATTTGCAAATGAATTCCAATTCAGCAGTTTCTCGCTGGAGTCTGGATTTGAAGTTTTTTTGTTTTAAGATAGCGACCTTCATGTCTGTGATTGCGTGACCAGAGAGATTGAAGTGTTCTCCGACTGGTTTATGAATGTTATAATTCTTGACATCTGATTTGTGTCCATTTATTCTTTTACGTAGAGACTGTCCAGTTTGACCAATGTACATGGCAGAGGGGCATTGCTGGCACATGATGGCATATATCACATTGGTGGATGTGCAGGTGAACGAGCCTCTGATAGTGTGGCTGATGTTATTAGGCCCTGTGATGGTGTCCCCTGAATAGATATGTGGGCACAATTGGCAACGGGCTTTGTTGCAAGGATAAGTTCCTGGGTTAGTGGTTCTGTTGTGTGGTATGTGGTTGTTGGTGAGTATTTGCTTCAGGTTGCGGGGCTGTCTGTAGGCAAGGACTGGCCTGTCTCCCAAGACTTGTGAGAGTGTTGGGTCATCCTTTAGGATAGGTTGTAGATCCTTAATAATGCGTTGGAGGGGTTTTAGTTGGGGGCTGAAGGTGACCGCTAGTGGCGTTCTGTTATTTTCTTTGTTAGGCCTGTCCTGTAGTAGGTAACTTCTGGGAACTCTTCTGGCTCTATCAATCTGTTTCTTTACTTCTGCAGGTGGGTATTGTAGTTGTAAGAAAGCTTGACAGAGATCTTGTAGGTGTTTGTCTCTGTCTGAGGGGTTGGAGCAAATGCGGTTGTATCGCAGAGCTTGGCTGTAGACGATGGATCGTGTGGTGTGGTCAGGGTGAAAGCTGGAGGCATGCAGGTAGGAATAGCGGTCAGTAGGTTTCCGGTATAGGGTGGTGTTTATGTGGCCATTGTTTATTAGCACTGTAGTGTCCAGGAAGTGGATCTCTTGTGTGGACTGGACCAGGCTGAGGTTGGTGGTGGGATGGAAATTGTTGAAATCATGGTGGAATTCCTCAAGGGCTTCTTTTCCATGGGTCCAGATGATGAAGATGTCATCAATATAGCGCAAGTAGAGTAGGGGCTTTAGGGGATGAGAGCTGAGGAAGCGTTGTTCTAAATCAGCCATAAAAATGTTGGCATACTGTGGGGCCATGCGGGTACCCATAGCAGTGCCGCTGATCTGAAGGTATACATTGTCCCCAAATGTGAAATAGTTATGGGTAAGGACAAAGTCACAAAGTTCAGCCACCAGGTTAGCCGTGACATTATCGGGGATAGTGTTCTTGACGGCTTGTAGTCCATCTTTGTGTGGAATGTTGGTGTAGAGGGCTTCTACATCCATAGTAGCCAGGATGGTGTTATCAGGAAGATCACCGATGGATTGAAGTTTCCTCAGGAAGTCAGTGGTGTCTCGAAGGTAGCTGGGAGTGCTGGTAGCGTAGGGCCTGAGGAGGGAGTCTACATAGCCAGACAATCCTGCTGTCAGGGTGCCAATGCCTGAGATGATGGGGCGCCCAGGATTTCCAGGTTTATGGATCTTGGGTAGTAGATAGAATATCCCAGGTCGGGGTTCCAGGGGTGTGTCTGTGCGGATTTGATCTTGTGCTTTTTCAGGAAGTTTCTTGAGCAAATGCTGTAGTTGCTTTTGGTAACTCTCAGTGGGATCATAGGGTAATGGCTTGTAGAAACTCGTGTTGGAGAGCTGCCGAGCAGCCTCTTGTTCATATTCCGACCTATTCATGATGACAACAGCACCTCCTTTGTCAGCCTTTTTGATTATGATGTCAGAGTTGTTTCTGAGGCTGTGGATGGCATTGCGTTCCGCATGGCTGAGGTTATGGGGCAAGTGATGCTGCTTTTCCACAATTTCAGCCCGTGCACGTCGGCGGAAGCACTCTATGTAGAAGTCCAGTCTGCTGTTTCGACCTTCAGGAGTCCATCTAGAATCCCTCTTTCTGTAGTGTTGGCAGGGAGACCTCTGTGGATTAGTATGTTGTTCAGAGGTATTTTGGAAATATTCCTTGAGACGGAGACGTCGAAAATAGGATTCTAGGTCACCACAGAACTGTATCATGTTCGTGGGGGTGGAGGGGCAGAAGGAGAGGCCCCGAGATAGAACAGCTGCTTCTGCTGGGCTGAGAGTATAGTTGGATAGGTTAACAATATTGCTAGGTGGGGTGAGGGAACCATTGCTGTGGCCCCTTGTAGCATGTAGTAGTTTAGAAAGTTTAGTGTCCTTTTTCTTTTGTAGAGAAGCAAAGTGTGCGTTGTAAATGGCTTGTCTAGTTTTAGTAAAATCCAGCCACGAGGAAGTTTGTGTGGAAGGTTGGTTCTTTATGAGAGTATCCATTTTTGAGAGCTCATTCTTAATCTTTCCCTGTTTGCTGTAGAGGATCTTGATCAGGTGATTCCGCAGTTTCTTTGAGAGCGTGAGGCACAAGCTGTCAGCATAGTCTGTGTGGTATGTAGATTGTAATGGATTTTTTACCTTCAGTCCTTTTGGTACGATGTCCATCTGTTTGCATTTGGAAAGGAAGATGATGTCTGTCTGTATCTGTACAAGTTTTTTCATGCAGTTGATAGATTTCCACTCCATACGGCTAAATGCAGTGCCTTGCATAATGACAGGTTTCAGAGGAACAGCCATGTTAGTCTGTATTCGCAAAAAGAAAAGGAGTACTTGTGGCACCTTAGAGACTAACCAATTTATTTGAGCATGAGCTTTCGTGAGCTACAGCTGTAGACTGTGACCCTTGTCTCTAGAGAGAGAAGGGTTATGTGGAGGGTCACAGTGAGCCTCTGAGGCTAGCAAAATCCGCCAGGAAACACGGGACCCACAGAGGCAAGGACAGAGCTTTGTCACAATAGGATCAAATGTAGCTGAGAGTAAGTGGGTGCATCTCCCATGGAAGTCTCTGTGCTAATTTCAGCAAGGACATAAGATGGTCAAAAAACAGGGGCAAGTGGCAAAGTTGTGTAACTTGCACCAATTTGACATTTAGCAGGCCTGTAAAATACATCACAGGGTATGGAAGTGAGGGAAGTTAGCAGGAAAAGAAATGGGAGGGTACTAGATAAAGCAGACTCTCCCTACTTTAAATTACCCTTCCACCATCCCCAACGGTCCCAGGGAATGAATTTGACCAATGCTGTACCTGATTCCTATGCAATATCCTAAAGCTCAGACTACGATTAAACCACACACATTTGTAGAGAGTCCAGACTACCATGTACAAACATGTCAGTTAACATGTTGAATTAGTAATCAGTTAACCTGAGTTAAACTCTAGAGTAGATATACCCGATGAAGCTGATTCTTGTGGGAGTAGGCATATACAAATTAAAATAGGGTACTTAAAGAAAGAACTCCATTATAAAAATAAGAACACGGCCACTACAGTATTAACAGTTCCCTTAATGTAGAGCTCTTTGCTACTACCTTCTCACAGACATACCTTCTCTTTTGTCCCTGTTTTCCTACTCTGTTTGTGGCTGCTCCCAGACGCCCAACATTTCTAAAAACTTCACTAGCAGCATTACCTCTATAGAGAAGACAAAATGAGTAACATTTGGATTCTTAATTTTACTTCTACTAAGACTTAAACTGAAGGAGTTAGGCAGTACTTGGATTAATACACTGGTCTTTCACCTCTGAAGTCACAAGTATAGAATTGCATCCATTCATAAGTGAAAAAGCTACTGGTGGTTTCATTCTCTGGGTGGATGCTTTATCCACTTCATCAGGAAGGGTGGCCTGAAGTGGTTAGGGCATTAGCCTACTACTTGGGGAGATCTGGGTTTGATTCTCTACTCTGACACCAACTTCCTGTGTGACCTTGGGCAAGTCAGTTAGCTTCTCTGTGCCTCAGTTCATCATCTAGAAAATGGGATAATAGCACCAACCTACTTCACAGGGCTGTTGTGAGGATAAATACATTAAAGACATTAAATATTGTGACGTGCTTTGAGAATTACCAATCAAAAGTGGTGTACAACAGAAAGGTACTATCATCATGGATGGGATTTTCAAAAGCTTTCAGCACAGGCCAAACCCTGCTTCCACTGAAGTCAAAGGTAAGACTTCCATACGATTTCAGAGGAAGTAGAATGAGGCTGATGCTGAACACTTTTGAAAATCCCACCCCATAAAACCACGGCCCAATCTGGTTTATAACAGCACAACTAGCTGCCTTTGCTGATGAGGGGTCCAAAACTGTAGAGGACTGTGTTGCAGGTCAGAGCTGAGGTGCAATGGCTCAGCCGCATGAAGAGATTACAGAGCACTTGCCAGCAAAACTGCCTTACCTCTGGCCAATGTGCTCAGTTCCCCACTACACACTGAAACATTCACCCAGAGACAAAACTGCCATGTATTTTCAGGAAGAGCAGAAGCATTTGCCTACTAAGACCTACTGCCTAGATTTCGTATTCATCTTACTATTCTGTAACAACATGTATTCCATCTGAGGCAGCTTTTCTATGTAAAACAATCAGTTCAAGGCATGAGAGTTATCACCATCCATGATCCCCTATTAGACATTAGCACATACTCCATTTTGAAGTTTCTACCTCAGGCCATACAAGTTCTCCACTGGAAAGGGGATCAAAGCCTCTTCAGACCTACAAATGATCTACTGGATGGGGGTGGGAAGGTCTACCAGGAGTCCCTCAGACTACCATCCCACTTACTCTCCAAGGCTCCTTCCAGGATGGTTGGAGGTGCCTCATTAACTAGAAAGTAATCTGCTGTTCAGGTATTAGGCCATTGGCTCACCCATTCATGGATACATTTAACTTACTTAGGGAATACACGACTGTAGCTAAATTCAGCACCCTGTTCCATAGATGATTTATAATTCTAACAAGGTGTAAGGAGAAATAGAATAGTCACCTCATGGGAATGACCCACAAAAAACTGTGCTCATTAAATGGGCAGATTTTAAAAGGCCAGTGAAAGTGATAAATTACTTTCCAACTTCAACTGAGAGAAAAGTTAAAAGTGCAGCATGAACAAGTAAATGGCAATAAAAATATCACAACTGGATCCAGTTTGGGTGAATCAGCAGACATGCTATGAATTCAGATATATATGAACTCTGAGTTCATGAAGATGCTGCAGTTAATGGCACATATCAAGGAGTACTACTGACCTGTGATTAGAGTTTTCCCCAAAGTAACGAGTATTTTAAGATTTTGGCATCTGCATTCCCGGGGCAAGTGGCAACTTTCAAAGTTACTATAAACTTTCAATGTATGGCCTTTAAAACAATTTTTGAAATGCCAAACAGCACTGAAATCAAATTTATCATCTTGCTCACTCTCCTCCAGCCTTTATATTAAATCACAGGGTTTATTTTGTATATTACCTAATCTTTCTGGCATATATTTGCCCTATATATAGTCTTACACTCTAAAGTCCCACTTCAGCAAAGTAATTAGCCATATGTTTAAGTCCCATTGACTCCAATATCCCTGTGGCTGCTGTTTTGATTCTTTAAGTATCTTATGCTTCTGTAGCACTTTTCATGTCAAAAGACTTTAAATATTTTACAGACTATCATGTAGATATAATACCCCTCCCTTCCTTTCTCACCTCTTTCCTCCTACACCATTTCAAGACCCAACTGAAAGTTATCACATTTTTCATATCTACCTTTCACTTATTGTCCCTATCTCACCATTTATTTGTGTATTCTTAATTCACTATCCAAATATTATGCACTCCCCCGCAATATCTACCCAATTTCATATCCTATATATAAATACTTGTCCCAAATGATCATGTAGCGGTATGTGCTGTTAGACATCTGCTACATTCCACACCCGTAAAAGTTTTAGATGAGGAAGTTACTCACCTTGTGCAGTAACGATGGTTCTTCGAGATGTGTCCCCCTATGGGTGCTCCACTTTAGGTGTCTGTGTGCCCCTGCACCTCTAATCGGAGATTTTTGGTAGCAGTGTCCCGCTGAGCCCACGCATGTGCTCTCCCTCCCTCATGGTCTGCCTTGCGCGAACCCCCCTCATTTCCTTCTCTACCACAGAGCCCTATAGAGAACTCCGAAATAGAGGGGAGGAGGGCGGGTTGTGGAGCACCCACAGGGACACACATCTCGAAGAACCATAGTTACTGCAAAAGGTGAGTAACTTCCTCCTCCTCTTCTTCTTCTTCGAGTAGTGTCCTTATGGGTGCTCCACTTTAGGTGACTCTGGAGCAGTACCCACCACTGGAGGCTGGGACTTTGGAGCGGAGTCTTTTACTACAGAGAGTACTGTGGAGTCGAAGATGCTGTCAGCGGCCAAATCTTCAGTGATCGCATAATGTTCTGCAAAAGTATGGACAGAGGCCCCGAACATTGCTCTATAGACTGGGGAGATAGGGGTATCCCTATGGAATGTGATTGAGGTAGGAACTGATCTCATGGAGTGCATATGGACAGAAGCAAGTTGCACCCTTGCTAAGTGATTAATGCAACTAGAGACCCATTTGGATAGTCTTTGAGGAGAAATCACAGAGCTTTTGGATCTTTCTGTGGACGAAAGGAAGAGTTTAGGGGATTTCCTGAAGTCCTTAGTCCTGTCCAAGTAGAACGCTAATGTCCTTCTAATATCTACCATATGCACAATTGTCTCCCAGTTGTCACAATGTGGTTTTGGGAAAAAAACAGGGAGATGGAGCTGTTGATTCATATGGAAAGTGCAGAAAAAGTAGGGAGAAACTTGGGATATGGCCTTACAGTTATTATTATTATTTTTTATTTTTTTAAAGACAAAGGCCGTGAATGATGGGTGTGCCATCAGGGCTGCTATTTCTCCTATGTGCCTAGCTGAGGTGATGGCAATTAGAAATGCTGTCGTCATGGACAGCTGTAAGAGAGAACAAGTTGCTCTGGACTCGGAGGGAGGTCTAGTCCAAGCCCTGAGAACTAGATTAAAGTCCCAGGCTGGAGCGAGTGGTGTCACATGGGGGAAGAGAGTCCCAATGCCCTTAAAGAGTCTACGCATTAGTGGTTGAGCAAACTCCAAGTGGGAAGCCATTTTCACCATGAGATGTACCTTAAGGGACCTGAGTGAGTTTAAAATATAGTGCAAAATCAGAGGGAGGAAAGATGAGGTTGGGTCTGTCCGCTTCGAATGGTACCAACTTGGAGTCGTTTCCATTTTGTAGATAGGTATGTGGAGTGGTCAACTTGTGGTTGTGTTGCAACATGTGTTTCAGCTTGTCAGAGCATTCTGTTTCTTAGCCTTGGAACAAAGAAAGATCCAAGCCTGGAGGCAGAGGACCCATGGGCTGGGATGAAGGGTCAGCCCATTGTTTTGAGAGAGCAGGTGAGGAATGGGCTGACATCAGAGGAACAGGAGGGCATATTGCCATCTGCATCAGGTAAGGCAGCCAGACTTGTCTTAGTCAAGAGGGGCAATCACAATAACTCTCGCTTTGTTTCTTTGAATTTTCAACAGAATCTTGGGACAGGATAGGAAACTGGGAAAAGACATACAAGTGGGCTCTGTCTGCTGGGAAGATGAGGGCAACTGCCAGTGAATGTTTCCCCAAAGGGTGGCTACATCTTGAAGCACCTGTGAATTCAGTATACACTCATTCTCGTGAGAAAATTCCAACTGAGACTGTTGGTTATCCCGTTCTGTATCCCTTGTAGACAGACAGCTAAGATGAGCACATTGTGATGGGTGCATCAATTCCAAAGTTTGAATGCTGTCTTACAGAGGGAGGGAGATCTGGCAGCTCCTTGGCAGTTTATACAAAACATACAGGTCACATTAAGTCCATCATAACCTTTGTGTGTTGTTTTTGATGAAAGACAAAGCTTGCGCACAAGCACTCCTGACAGCCCCTAGCCCCAAAAGAGTGATATGGAAGGTCATTTCTGTGGAAGGCCATTTGTCCTGAACCTTGTTGTTGTGTAGGTGAGCTCCCCAGCATATTAGGGAGACATGTGTCCCAGGGTGGTGAATGTGGGTAGTGAGAGGAGCATTCTCACTTGTACTGCATCAGGTTGGTGCTGATAAAGTCGAGTCACTGTACCGGGGTTAGTATACCACCACAATGAAGTGAACCTTGGAGACTACCCTGTGTGGAGCAGTCTGTACCTATAATGATCCTGTCCCAAAGGTAAGCAATAGGAAATCTCCTGTATGATGGTTGTATTGAGATATGGAAGTAGGCACCCTGTAGGTTCAGGGCTAGAAATCAATCTCTTTGCTCTAGAGCTGGTCCTAACTGCTGTGAAGTAAGGTAAGGTGACTTCTGAGTGGCGTGACAGGTGTATAGATGGCAGCTGATGCTGTAAGGTATCATTGTTCAGGCCCCTGACCAGCTCATCGAAGTGCTTATAAGAGGCAGTTTGAGAGGTCATGAACTGGGGTGCAGACTGTTCTCACTTTTGAGCCCTGGGCCTCTTACACTGTGGCTTATAACAGCACAGAGATGGTGAGTATTGAGAAGATTGTGATCTGTGGTCTGGTTGAGAGGTATATCTTCTCTTCTGTTCCACAGTGTAGATTCCTAAGGAGTGTAGTGCGGTCCAAGAATCCTTCAGGATGTGGAGAGAAAATCTGTCTTCTCCGCAAAGAGTTTGGCCCTTCAAATTGGAAGTCTGTAGCTCTTTGGGCAATCTAGAGAGGTGTAGCGAACAAAAAGAAAAAACACCCCACAACCCACCTCAGTACCACTGTCATGGAGACTGGGCAGGCTCTGTAACACCTACATCTGGTCATGTCTCTAGGACCGCTCTGGCTATTAACTGACCTTCTCTAAGAATGGTCTGAATCTGTTCTTTTTGTGTTTCCAGTAATGTTTCAGAAACATCCTGGGTTTCCCAAGATTAACAAAATAATTTAGCCATGAAAGTTTGGTAATTTATGACTCTAAACAGTAATGCTGTCGATGAATACGACATCTTGCGAAGCCTGATCACATGGAGTTGACTTGGTATTATGTTGCTTGCTTCATGAATTAACCACATCCACTATGATGAAGTTGGGTTGCAGATGTTGAAAACAAAGATGGTAGAGATGTAGGGTTGTTTTTGTTTACACACTGTTGCGGGTTGGTGCAATGGAGGCTTGCTCTGCCAGATGATTTTGGTAGGATCTAAAATCAGCTCATTAATTGGGAGGACAGTTCTAGATGAGAAGGTAGCGTGCAGAATTTCCACCAACTTGTGATGTGTATCTGCCACCTCCTGTAAGGGAATCTGCAGCTTGTCTGCCACCCTCTTGGTAAGATCCAGAAAGTTCTTAAATCTTCATCTAGTGATGAGGGGTGGGCAGCAGAGTCTCATCTGGGACAGATGAGGAGAAGTGTGCTGCAGAGGCAGCTTCCTCTTCAGGTGTGTGGGTTTTTTTTAACTGAAAAAGAAAATAATTATGAGTCTACTAGATGCCCGGGGAGAGGGGAGAATGCCCCCAGACAGGGAAGGAAAGTGAAGTTCTTTTCCTTTTTCTCTTTTATTTTTAAACCAAAGGAATAAAATAAAATAAAAACAAAACACACTAGCCTGAGTACTTTTAGGGAGAACAAAGGTAACAAAACAAACACTACATATGCTCATGACACACATAAAGAAGGAACAACTGCTCGTTCTGTCAGAGGCCAAAGGTGGTAGAGAAGGAAGTGAGGGGGGTTCGTCCGTGCAGTGCTAAATAGCCTCAAGGCAGACCACGAGGGAGGGAGAGCACATGCGCGGACTCAACTGGACACTGCTACCAAAAATCTCCACACACAGACACCTAAAGTGGAGCACCCATAGGGACACTACTCGACGAAGAACTCTGATTTACTTTTCACTATTTGTGGTGCTTGATTACTTTTTGCATTTCACTCAGTTTGTCCAATGGCTAGGCTATTCACTGAGCAAAGGCTTATGTTCCTAGACCATTTCAGTTCTAGTGCTCACCTACACAATTCTGCAACGTTTGACTTGCAAACATTGCAGTGAAATGTTCAGAGGTAGCTAAAAGAAACAAATTTCCCAAAATTAAAAAAAACCATGGAAACTTCTATTAATAACAAGTCATGCTCACCTTCTGACAGAAAACCTTCCATTTTGTACCTAAACCACCTGATGTTTCCCAAACGTCCAAAACCCTCACTTGCAAGAGTGATTTATCTATTCTCACCACGCCATTGAGGTCACCTGATTTACAGTCTATTTGAAATAAGTCTTTCTTAGCCTTACCGTTTTGATCTCTGAACCATTTCACCTTTTAGAATGGTCCTTCTCTTCTGTTTAACCGGGCAGTCTAAATGGAAAGGCAAAGTTTTGAGCCTGATAAAACTTTAAAGCTTACAAAAACAGTGAACAAGTTTGTTTAGATCAGAGAACTGTTCTAATGCACTCTATATTATTTTATGGAAATATGCTAATGAGTGTGAAGATAATATAACTGGAATATGCTTCATGCAAAAGGTCTCTTGTAAGGTATCATTACAAAGCCTATAATCTACTGAGTGTGGTCATCCAATTTGTATAAATGTATCATTCTTGTATCTGAAACTAGAAATATGAAATATAACTCTGAGGTCCTATTGTAATTATGCAAAGTGGGGGTTATTAATGGTGGCTTGGAATCTTGATGGCTCCCATTAACCAGGACAATTGGTTGTAAATGGCTCTGTTTACTTGTAAGTCTTCCTGTATACATGTGTGCTGGCAAGTGGGCAATGAAATCTTACAGTGACATGTGATCATGTCACCTGAACTGAAATCCATCTTTTACCTGGTGCTTTTCCATTTAGGAGGAGGGGTGTGAACCCAGAGAGGGACAAAGGATTCCCACCTTGTGCAAAAGATATATAAGGGGGTGGAACAGAACAAAGGGAGCTGCAATCATGAGAAATCCCCTAGCTACCACCTGAGCTGGAACAAAGACTGTACCGAGGAAAGGATTGGGCCCAGACTAGAAAGGAGTCTAGTCTGTGAAAGAAGCTTTCTGGAACATCTCTGAGGGTGAGGTTTCATCTGTAATCAGTTTCTCACTGTATTTGGCTTCGACTTGCATGTTTTTGTTTTCTTTTGCTTGGTAATTTACTTTGTTCTGCCTGTTATTACTTGCAACCACTTAAATCCTACTTTTTTATATTTAATAAAATCACTTTTTGCTTATTAACTAACTCAGAGCAAGTATTAACACCTGGGGGAGCAAACAGCTGTGCATCTCTCTCTATCAGTGTTATAAAGGGCAGACATTTATGAGTTTACCCTGTATAAGCTTTATACAGAGTAAAATGGATTTATTTGGGGTTTGGACCCCATTGGGAACTGGGTATCTGGGTGCTGGAGACAGGAACACTTCTTAAGCTGTTTTCTGTTAAGCTTGTAGCTTTTGGGGGACATGGTTCAGACCTGGGTCTGTGTTTGCAACAGGCTAGCATGTCTGGCTCAACAAGACAGGGTACTGAAGTCCCAAGCTGCCAGGGAAAACAGGCTCAGAGGTAGTCTCAGCACATCAGTTGGCAGTCCCAAGGGGGTTTCTGTGACCCAACCCATCACAATCTCATTATTCATATAAAATGGATAACTATCCTATTATAAGAATGCATATATAAAATGAATTTATATAAAATGAATAATAATGTTTAAGAATCTAATTAGAAATATGTACACTTAGAATAATGCTCTGTACGCAAACAGCGTACATTCAGTATTTCCTATAGAGCATGAAAAGGCATAAACATGAGGCACCTCTGTTATAGAGCAGGTAACTAGCATTCTTATAATCCTTCTTCTCAGGGGGATTGAACAGCTCCTCTCGCTCACTCTGCAACACACTCTGTAGCTTCCTTTCTTCCATGATGAGCTTCAGGCGCTTCACACGCTCCCCAGAGCGGGAGATGAAATCAGGGCGGTGCAATGCAAGAGCCTCCTAAGAAGGTGAAAAAACCCTCAGAGAAAAGTAGTTTCAGGATGTTCCTCCAACCTGGGAGGGGATGATCAAAATATCTAACCCCATGAGTGAACCATGGCAAGCATTCCTTTCAAAGAGTCATCCTCACATGGCACAGAATGCTGCATCCATAATGCTGAGCAATTCTCTGGGGATCTTGTTAGCAAATACTTTGGTTTTAAACAACGTGAAAGCTAACTGGCTGAGGAAAAGAGTAGCTGAAATAATTTGCAAAAAGGATGTAAACTTCAGTTTAAACAAGCAGGCCAAAGATCAGGCAGCCACACACACAGGACAAGATACTGTTAACCACAGAATTAGACACCTCCATCAAAATAAAACTAAAGTCCATTATAGCTATCTTTTTAAATAGCATATGTTCATTAGTGTCCACATTATGTTGGCTTCTAAGGAAAGTTTTTAAATGGGGTCTCAGCATTTCACTTCCATTTTAACCCCAAGGTTTAGTGGTAATAAGAAGCTTTCAATATGCAAAGCCAATGAGTACTATGACTTGGCTGCATCTGAGACACCTTCCTTGAACTTCTTCCTGATGTCTGCTTGTGCTGACACAACTGCCTTCACTCTGCTCTACTCCTGTATCTCAAGGCAGCAGGCAATTATGCCCTTGCTGAAGTAGGTGTGAAACTCACTGCCCCTTGACATCAACTTCTATTCAACCCTCCTCACTTTTGATCATCACCATAAAACTGTATTTTTCACACTTGGCCTTGAGTGTCTATATAATTTGCTGTGTGGGTACTTGAAATCCGCATTTTAGTTTCCATTTCACAGGTAAGTTCCCTGTTTTTATTGTATTCACTGTTTAAAATGTATCACGCTCTTTAATCTTTATTACTAAGCATCCATGGATACTTCTGCAGGGCAGCAATTAAAAAACCAACTTGCTACTGCTGCTGCTACATTCCTTCTGAAGCCCAACAACATGAGATTTGATCATCCTGATTATCTTAGCTTGTATAGGCATAGGTGTTATAAAATGTATACAATTATCCAATCCTTTTTTCAAAAACAGCAATAGTGTTGTATTATAGGTTGTGTTGTTGACTACCTACAGCAGTGAAAGCAAAGTGATGAAAATCAGGGCCACAAGTTTTGTTTCTATGAGCACCTAAACATGGCTTAATCTTCTCCATCTTTTCACCTCTCTCCTCCAAAACTTACAGTAAAACAAGAACCTCTACAGTGGAGTGTTCTTACCTGCAACGTCATTTTCACAAACAGTCTTGGGGGCTTGTTCTCAACATCTCTTACTGGGACTACCGGTTGAATCTTGATGCTGCCTTGCTGCTTTTGCCAGTTCCTCTCTCGGAGTGGATCTCTCCATGGCTTTGTGTTGGTCAGTGGCTCAAACCAGGATGGACCTGGACCAGAAAAGGAGCTAGATTTGTTCTCCTTCCTAGAGTCGGACTTTAAATCCTCAGGAGGAACAAACCAGGAAACTCCTATTGAAAATATTTTTTAGAGCCAAAAAGGAAAAATTAGAGAAAAATTTATTTTGAAGAATATACAATTTCTCATTTTCCATCTCCCTTTGAGCGTCTATGTATACATAGTGTCACTAAACACAGTTAGAGGCCTGATCCTACAGTCCTTGCTCACGTCAATAGTTCCACTGATTTCAATGAGACTATTCATGTTAACACCAGGGCTGTTTCAAACAACTGCATTTACCAAACACTAGAGAAAGTCCTCGAGTCTCTATCAACGAACAGGGATAAAACACTCTTTGAAATGGCTCAGCTAAGAAATTTCTCTTTACTTATACCCTCAATTACTAATAATTTCACATTTCTAAAGCACCTGTAATCCCAAAAAATCCTATGGCTCTTAAAGATGTTTCTGAGGGCACATGCTTTTCATCTTCCAACGCCATTATGTTCACGTGCTAGGCCCTCCTGAATTTATAGCCTTCTGGAATTTAAATACAACTAGAAGATACCCTTTAGAAGTTTTCAAGTGAAGCATATACAAGTCTGTGATGAGTAGGATTATCTGTTCCTAACCAAAAGATGATAAAAAATTGCATCAAGGGATGGAAACTAACATATTTTAGAACATTTCAGCAGCCAGGCAGCTGAGTGTTGATGGGAAATTCAAATTAGGAGGCTGGACCCTGTCCTTCCCCAAGATACAACCACAGCTGAAGAGGGAGACAAGAACACTTCCTTCCAACATTATGACCTTCTCTTCACCTGAAAACTCACTTATTCCATGAAGCCCTCAATAAATGAATCAGTAAAGTTATGAAATACTGAATATTATCATTTTAATATATGCAGCTTCACAGAAATGCTAAGATGTTCACATGCCTAAACAAAGTATCCATGTGAGCATATACTTGATTTGTCTTTTCTTGCCACATTCACTCCCTATATTTGTCACCATCATTTGATATATCATGCCTGAAATTTAGATTGTGAGCTCTAACACTTCGGGGCACTAAAAATAATCAACTATAAACACTTGATAAAAGTTAGTGATTCCATTGCCTTTTAAAAAAATATAATTGTGCCATTGTTAGAAACTGTTCTTACAGGGCCAGCTAGAGATCTCATGAATATATACATTGTGTACTGGTAATATATGCTGGCTGATGCGAAATGTGAGCACTTCCCCATTCACAAAGGTGCAATACTGGGTCTGACCTTGTGGTAGCTGTGGCCTGTTGCTTCCTGTCTTTTTGTCCATGAGAAAATTGCCGGGCTGTCCCTTCAGTTTCCCCTTGCCTGGTGGGTTTTGAAAGTCTGAAAACCCACCATCCAACTGCCCAAACCCACCATCGGCACAACTTGAGGGTTTCTGTGGCCTCACTTGGCTAGATCTTGGGGTGGGGAAAGTCATACCAACATCTCGAGTGTTTTTCTTAGTTGCACTGTTCACAATCTCCAAATCTCCTGTAGTTCAAAAGAAAGAAAAAGGAACACATTACTCGGGAGCAGCAGTGACTCAATAAGCTAAGATGTTGGAAAGCCCTCCCTGGTCCTTCAAACTAAGTAAGTGGCCTACTGCCATACCCCCGTGTATTCTAACCATGTCAGATCTCATAAACTAAGCTGGGTTGAACCAGACCAGAAGATTGATAGAAGACTTCCGAGGATCTACAAGCTGCAGAATGTGGTGTTAGTGATTCAGAAGGTGGTACTTGTGCAGGTTTTGTCAGAGTTTTTTGCCATTTTACTGTAATCTTAAATATGGGGCTGGAGGACTCTAAGGGTTGGTAAAAACAGACTCACGCCTTTTAAGTTATCACTCCAAATCCAGCTCAAGTTCAGTGACCAACGGTTGTTACTATATGATGATCCATGTGAAGTTAGTTTAGTGCCATCATTCTAGCTCCCAGGGCAAAAGGTGTCTACATCACAACACCATTAACACAACTGGAACTCTACTGTTGGCAGTTACAGCAAAGGTCAAGCACTGAAGGGGATGAGAGAGTGAATTACCACCTCTCTGCTAGAGGAAGATTCCTGTATCCAGGTTGAGGCACAAAGGTAAGTCAGCATATGCTTGTGCTGCTTACATTTTACTGGATAAACAGAATCCTTTGCTCAGGGTGATCCCTCCAGCACTTTCCACGGATGCTAAATTTTATTTGTAAAGATTTTTAAACAGTTGGGATGAAAGGGAGAACTAAAAATGTGTACAACTGAAGGTGTTAACCAAGGCTTAAGAAACTGTAAGAAATCTTGGAAAAATATCATGAACATTTACCATCCCAGATGCAAAGTTTACTCACAAAATAATGATAATGAAAAACAGGTATTTTGTTTGCCCATCAAAAACAGTCACTCATCCCTTAAAGGAGGATTTTGCAAGCCTGCTTTCAGGGAATGGTGTAATTGAAAATTGCCGTTGGGGGGAGAGGGGAAGAGCCTGAACACAGGAATTATACCAGTCAATGGATACATCATATCTTAAGCAGAGGACAAGAGATGTTCAAAGGGACAATACTGCGAACAGGGATAAAGGGTGCTGTTGGCATGCTGACTACACTGATAAAATAGCAAGTGCTTAGAAAGACATTCAGTGACTTACATACAGACAAAGGACCTCAGGAACTTTAGAACTCTTGCAAAAGAAAAATAACATGGAAGCTAGAGCTAAGTCACTTATTTGATACTTTTCAGAGTAGCAGGCGTGTTAGTCTGTATCCGCAGAAAGAACAGGAGTACTTGTGGCACCTTAGAGACTAACAAATTTATTAGAGCATAAGCTTTCGTGGGCTACAGCCCACTTCATCGTTGCATCTGATGAAGTGAGCTGTAGCCCACGAAAGCTTATGCTCTAATAAATTTGTTAGTCTCTAAGGTTCCACAAGTATTCCTGTTCTTTTTATTGGATACTGAGATGGATTAAAGGTCTGGGTTAGCAGAACTCAGATGAGCAATGACATTGGCCAGTAGCATAGTGGGAGCCAGCAAATGGAAGTGTCTGATCTTAACACAATACTTTATTGTGAAAGCATCTAAGCAGTACAGTTTGTGGGCAGTGAATGTCCAGTGTACATACCAGTCTGCAAAGACATGCATTAGACTCTGAAGCAGCCCTCTACGATGGTTTTGAAGAGATGAAAGTCAGAAGTGAATAAGCAGAGGTGAAGTTCGGACCTAAGAAACTTACCTGCTTGGATGCCCTTGTTTAACATCCGTATGTGTCGCTTGTTACCGAGGGCAGAACTTGGTCCACAGGAACCGTTGATTGTAGCAACAGAATCTGATGAAATAACAGAGTCTGACATCTAGAAAAAAACATAACAGGTTCTTGGGAATCTCTATTCGACTCAAGTCAGCATGGGGGCAGGGGTGAGGGGTCAAGCTGCAAAGGAGCAAGAGTCCCAAGTTCAGTTCTTAAAATGATTCAATTAACAATCGAGCACAGGCCTACGAACATCTTTCCACAACTTTCTACACAATTCCGCTAACCTTGGCTTCCATTTGTTTAGAAGAACGGACGTACATTGCTGGCATCAAACCTGATGAACTAGGAGCGTCACTCTGCCAATTCTTCAGGTGAGAAAATGGCAATGCTTTAACAGCTCTGCCACCAGTAACTAACACAGTCAGCCACGAAATCCTAATGCACATCCATTCACATATATAATTGTTTGCTTTCTTAAAATAAACACTGTTTTAGAAATGACATTTTTTAAAGCTTTAACTTCATTCACTAGCACAGTGGCTCTCAACCTTTCCAGACTACTGTACCTCTTTCAGGAGTTTGATTTGTCTTAAGTTTCATCTGACTTAAAATCTACTTGCTTACAAAATCAGACATTAAAATACCAAAAAAAGTGTCACAGCACACTATTACTGAAAAATTGCTGACTTTTTCATTTTTATCATACAATTATAAAAAAAATCAAATGGAATATAATTATTGTACTAACATTTCAGGGGGTGAGGAGACAAGTGGCGAGGTGAGTGGCAGGGGAGTAAGGAGGCAAGCAGCAAGCCAGCAGCAGGGTGAGGAGGCGGGTGGGGGGGTCTGGCTGCGAGGGGGGAGTGAGGAGGTGAGCGGCAGGTGTGGGGGTGAGAGGAGGCGAGCAGCAGGTGAGGGACTGAGGTGAGTGGCAGGCGGATGGGCAGTGGGTGGAGCCCCCCTTTGGGGAGGCTAGCCCCCAACTGTAACTGTTCCGCCTGCAACCCCCGGAAGCCGGAGTACCGAGACCCCCTACCCCCCCTGCGGCTGAAGTCACACGCCCCCCCGCCGGGAGAAGCCCCGAGCGTCCCCTCCCACCCCATCCGGCCAGAGGAGCCCCGGGCTGGCTGAAGCCCCAAGACCTCACCCCACACCCAACACATACACCTGCCCAGAGGAGCCCCCCCAGCCAGAGGAGCTCTGGGCCCGCCAAAGCTCTGAGCCCCCCGCCCCACACCTGCCCAGAGGAGCCCCAGGCCAATCACAGCCATGCCTCCCCTCCCCAGACCCAAGCCACCCACATATGTTTTTCATTATTATTTGGACTTCTATTGTGTCAAATCATTTTTAAATTTACTTCAGAATTGTACAGACAACCACTTTTACCAAAAAAGCAAAAGAATATTAAAAAAAAGACAAGAACATGCACAGCACCTAATTTGTATTTCTATTGTGTTAGGTCCAGTAAAGAATAGAGATAACTGCATCATTTTTATTATTCGCAAAAAGAAAAGGAGGACTTGTAGCACCTTAGAGACTAACCAATTTATTTGAGCATAAGCTTTCGTGAGCTACAGCTCACTTCATCGGCATCCGATCTGTAGCTCACGAAAGCTTATGCTCAAATAAATTGGTTAGTCTCTAAGGTGCCACAAGTCCTCCTCCTCTTTTTGCGAATACAGACTAACACGGCTGTTACTCTGAAACCTATTTTTATTACTGAGTCTGCAAAAAAACCCCAAGACCTTACATAAATAAATTACAAGGATTTGGATGTGTATATGTGCACATTACTTTATTAACTTTAGGAAAAATAAATAATTTTAGGAAAAAAAGTATCAGTGTGGCCACCAGCAAGAGTTGGTGGCTGCACTCTGAGGCCACCAAAAAATTTGTTGCTAGAACCCCTGCTCTAAAGTGAGTCACACATTCCCACCCTTTGGGCCAAGGGTACCTGAATGCTGCAGAGCCTGTTAGGGGAAGGGACTAGCCTGGAATTCTGATGTGTTCTCTTGCTGCTCAGTAATGATTTCTGGATCTACAGTACCAGAGAGAAAGCAAAGGACTTTCAAAAAGGCATCAGTGAAGGTTCCCCCACATTTTTGTACCCCCCCAAAATCAGTGTTCTTTACTGAGGTGAAACCCATCCAGAAAATAGTAATTTATAAGAAACAAGGAGCTAAGTACCTGGGAGATTGCACAGGCACTAGTTCAATATAAAAATAGAACTAGCTGCACTCACAGAGCCTAACATTGAATGAGATGGCTTTGTAAGTTTGTATAATGATCTTATTGCCCTTTAAAATGTAGGGTCTTTTGTCTGTGAATATAATGCACCTAGTTACACAAGCTTTGTATTCGGATTATCTAAATGGGGATATGTTGGTGCTTAAATAACACAGCACTTATTGACAATGCTTCTACAGCCGTCAATTCTGACCATGTGGCGTCAAACAGCTGTTGCAATGAAGTTAGTTGTGCTTCATTTTTAATTAGGAAACAGATTTTTCTCACCTATCACAGTAATCCGTATTCTATTTATAACTCATAATACTAAATATGATGGGAACGACAGGAGCTATATTTTATTGCTCAGGAACTATTGTACCTTCATTGTCACCAAATCGACATAATGCATAATTTCAATCACCACATTTAAAAGGCCTGGTTTTTATTCTCTCACATACAGGAATGCATCACTTTGCATCTTGTAAAATCTGCTCTGGCAGATTTTACAAGACAGATGTGGCAGATACACACCTGCGTATCAGAGGACAGAATCAAAATGCAGATATACATTCTGAGAAAACAGAATCCTTATTCTATATGCAGAACAACGTGATTTCCCTCCCATCCAAACAAGCATTTCAGCATTCAAGAAGGATTAGATATATTCAGTCATTCAGCAATGAATATATACATGCTTATTTCCATTCAGACCAACTTTAATGCAAACCTTGGTTTTGCAGCTGGCGCCAGATATAGCTTTGAGGGGTGCCTTAGGAACGAGATAAATTATATTAGATAGCAAACACCCTGAGGAAGGGTCCAGAGTTTGTATACTGTTCAGCATAAAATTGGCATTGAAATGATTAATAAATAAAAAAAATTATCCAAAACAGGGTTCTGTGGAAGAAGAGTTGACAATATTACTCAGATAAAACACAGATATAATAAACACTGATTATAAAAAGGGTGCCACTCTCTTATACAACATATTTATTCTATAATAATTTAAATATTGTGCAGTACTTTGTCTTGGAGTAGTGGTTTCTATAAGTAAAAAGGAAAGTTACTTACCTGTACAGTAACTGGAGTTCTTAAAGATCTGTTGTCCATATGTACATTCTACTAATGATGTGCACACATCCCATCCATTTGAGTTCTAAATCTTTGGCCAAAAGTGTCCGTGTGGACACGCTTGTGCTCGATGCACCCTTGCGCCCTTAGTCAAGTGCATAAACGGATAGAGCACACCAACTGCCTCCGTTTCCTCTCCACTGCAGAATCCTGGTTGGTAAAGGACTCTGAGGTACAGGGGATGGAGAGCAGGTTGAGGGATTTCTATATGTACAACAAATGCTCAAAGAACTCCAATTACAGTACAGCTAAGTAATTTTCCTTTCTTCTTCAAGCAAACATACATATGCATACTCCACTAATGATGACTCCCAAGCAGTGGACAACTGTAATGGAAGGAGCTTAGTCTTAAGAGCATAAAAATTCCACAACCCTGCTTTCCCAGTTTCATCTGCTGAAATATGGAGGTAGGCAGGGAATATTTAAGTGTTTGGAGAGCAGATATATTTGGAGCTTGTTGCTCTACAGGGTCTCTGACAGACATAAATAGGAAGCAAAGGAAGGAAGTGAACGAAGGGGTGTGATGGGGCTTAATTCCCCACTGCCTGTAAAATAAGGGAAAGAACCTAATTAGTTATGCTCCATACCTGGGAAGTGATTAACTAATTGCCTCCTGGCCAGAGGAGGTGAAGCTAAGCTGTATAAGGAGATGAGACAGCTCAATAGAGAGGAAGAGACCGAAGAGAGAGAAGCTAGGGAGAGTTCTCTCTTCCTGGGAAGGATCTGGAAGAAGGTCCAGTAGTTTGGGAGTGGCTAGGGCCAGGAAGCAGAGCTATAGAAGTAGGCTTAATTCCTGTGGTGGGGCCCTAGAATGTAGAGAAGTCCTCAGCTTGGGGATGGGGGAGGGGGTAGAAGGCCAGCTTAAATGGTATTTGGACTCCCAGCAGAGAAAAGCCTGGGGGGGTGGGGTGGGGGGGGCAGTAAGCTGACTAGGGGAAAGAACTTAAGTTGAGCCCAGGAGAGGCAAAGGACCTTTTGTTTGTGAAGCCAAACCACACAACAGGACTGAACTATTATATGACTTGGCTGGAGGTCCAAATGGGAGTGGTCACTGTGTCAGTGTCAGAGAAAGTAGCCACCACATGGGGTACAAGATGCTAAGACCCCTGCAATGCTGTGTCCAGGAAGAAAGGTGTACCTAGAGGCAAGGACGCCCCTTGACAAGGGAAGAGAGAAAACAGAACTTGATTTTGCTGCCCTGGAAAAAGGGAGAAGAACTTGATTTGTTTTGTGGGCTACTTTTCTCACTGGTGAGGGAAGCCTATCCTATAATAACCCTCTCTCTAGGCCAGTATCAACCATTCTCCAAATAAGGAATGATTACTATGTTTTCCACTCTGTTTATGATACAGCATGAACAAAGCTATTAAAAAAAACCTGTTAGGTTGCCTCTTGATTTAACTGATCACATACCTGAGTATCTCTTCTTTTTTTATGTCGCTCAGCAGAAGTCATGTTAGGATATTTCAAGCCCACTACTTTACTTCTTCCCTTGTCCCACTTTTCAGAGCGACTTTTCTGCTGACTGATGGTGCAATACAGTTTGGACAGTCTTGGTGACAAGCGTACTCTTTCATGCCCAAAAGCCCTGATCAGCCTGGCAGTGTCAATGGTGGAAATGGAACTGCTCACCTCAGTCTGAGAAGTTGTTTCCATCTCTGTTTGGGTCACCATGTCTGATTCAGAGGCAGAAGAATCTGTCACCACAACGTGGTCTTTAGTAGGCATAGTCTCTAAAGAGGTGTCACTCAGAGGGTCTAAATATTTTTGTTTCAAGAATCTCTTCATGTGATTGATAGTTCTCTCTCCTGCCCTTTGTTGTCTAGACTCAACTCGTCTTTTTTCATCATAACTGGTATCTGATCTTTCTTCAGCGTTCAGTACATTTCTATAAGAGTCTAGGTTACTTTCATATACCTTCTTGTCCTGATGTCTTATTTTCTTCTGCTCTCTTCCCCTAGTTTTCTCTCCAATATTGCTCTTGCCATTCTCTGTAGGCATTAGTGAATGCCTAACAGGATTCTGGAGGACTCGGGCCAGTCGATCAAGGCGTTCCACTAGGGACAGCTCATTGCTGATCTTAAGATTATGAAGGTGGTGCTTCTTTTGACGCTCTAAAAACTTAGTCCAAAGCTCATCCAAACTGCCAGTGGAATAGGTACTCTGTTTTAGTGGCAGATCCATCTTCTGTCTCCTGCTTAAGTCAGTCCTTTGGCTGCTTGATAGCAGATAATCTCTGACCTTCTTTTGGTCCTCTTGTACAAGCTCTTTCCCTGAAGCTTCTTTCCCCAAAAATGCATTGAATCTCAAGTCCTCAACCTTGCTATAATCCATTTCTGCAGTTAGTGGGGAGAATTCATCCTCCTCACCCTCTTGAGGATAAACAGAGGATGAGTGTTGATCTTTCTTGGCAGCTCTCCAGTTTTGGAAGAAATCTCTTGAAGAAGGTCCTGTGTGTCCAATATCAGTGCACTCCTCTGAAGGCTCATCATTAGAGAGGAAGTAACTCTCATGTTGCAGGGGCACTGGATGGTGAAGGTAAAACTGGGCTGTCTTGAAAACTGAATGAGTTGTTTTTACAGATTCCAAATGATTCACAGACTCTGAAACAGAAAGAAAACTGCTGTTTTACTTCCACACACACACAAATGATGGCTACTGGCTTCTTCAGAAACAGTCTCCTATAAATAGGGAACTCTCATTCCACAGGACTCCCAAAGCAGTTTACCAATTGCAGGTATATATGAGTCACTTCACACAATGCTGAAATGCAACCTCTAGGATGGAATCTCAAAGTTATTAACAGTGCACAGCAGTTTTATACAGACATTAAGGCTAGGAAATGAAGGGGAATACCATACCCATTAAAACTGCAGGAGGAATTAAACATGCAGTATGTAATTTCCCAAATTGGCATATGGACAGGATGCTGAGGTTAACATTTACTCTTTCAAAAAGTGCCATAAGATCTTCAATGACAAGCAGCCAGAAACTCAGTTTTACCTCTCTTCCAAAGGATGAAACCCCTAGTATACAGTGCCATGCTACTAACTTAAAAAAATGCCACTTGTAAGTGATGCTACTTCCTGTATCACCCTGTATATGTCTTGGAGGTATCCCACAGAAGTATTGACCAAGTCTTAGCTTGTAAAATCTGATGGGATTACTCAGCCCAAAGTAGAACGGCTGCAAGGAAATCCCACCAAAAGATGATGTATGTAGAATGACCTGTGTTTTCAAATAACTACACAATGTATTATAAATGAGATTTTAATTAATATGAATGTATTTTGTAGGCATGCACTGCAGTAGGAATATGCATCCCAAGTCAAAAGAGAAAATGCTTGTAAGGAAATGCTCCAGACTTAACTGGATGAATAATCATCTCTAAAAGGATATTTATGAGTATGTAGAGAGCCTACAGGAATTAAATAGGGGATGGATCAGCAAAGAAAGCTACATCTTGGAGGTCAGAAAATGTAGGGTTAAAGTGAAAACTGCCAAAAGTCAACCTGAGTTAGACTTTGCAAAGTAAATTAAAACAAAAAGTAAAAGATTCTTTAGCCATATAAATAAAAAGGAGCAAGGAAAAAAAAGAAATGATGTGTAGTGAGCTTGGAGTGGAAACTAAGGATAATCTAAGAGCGTGGCCCCAAAACTAAATGTTTATTTTGCCTGTTTTCAATAAGAAGATGATGTAGAACATGGGGGCAAAGGCAGGATGGTTAATGGGAATGAGCATATTGAAACAGAAACTACTACATCTGGGGCGGAAACAAAACTCAAAGAGCTTAATATACTTGGGTCTGGGGAGATGGGGGAGTCGAGGAGGGGAAACTGACACATGAAATTGTTAGTCTGATAGCAAGAATTTTTCATAAACTTATCGAAGTGGGGGTGGTACTGTATGATTGGTGATAGCAAACGCAGTACCTATATTTAGGAAATGGGAAGGGAAAGCGATCTGACCTCAATGATATGCAAAGCTTTAGAACAGAGTTCAAAGGAAAGAATCATTAAAGACATGGAAGTAAAAGGAAAATGGGATAAAATGCAACATGAGTGTATTAAAGGTAGATCATGCCACACTGACTAGATATCTTTCTTTGATAAGATAACTAATTTTTTAGACAAGGATAATGCAGTAGATGTAGTCTATCTGGATTTCAGTAAACCATTTGCAAAAAGAAAAGGAGTACTTGTGGCACCTTAGAGACTAACCAATTTATAAATTTATAATAATATAAATTGGTTAGTCTCTAAGGTGCCACAAGTACTCCTTTTCTTTTTGTGAATACAGACTAACACGGCTGCTACTCTGAAACCAGTAAAACATTTGATATGGCACCACATGGGAAATTACTAGTTCAACTGGAGAAGGTGGGGATTAGTACAATAATTGTAAGGTGATTAAGGAAGTGGCCAAATGGGAGACTAACAGGTTTTGCTGAAAGTAGAACCATTGGTTTGAACAGGGTTGGTTTACTTCTGGCGTTCCTCAAAGACTGGTCTTTTTGTCTAGTATTGTTCTTCCCCAAGAGAGAAAGGGTCATTCCCTTATCTCATCTTTTTACTCCTGTAGCCTAGCATTTTACGAAGAACACCACACAGAAAACAGACTGGGAGGCCAGCTATTACTTCTTTTTAAGGAAGAGGATGATATGTTGTAGGAGTGAAGGGAAACACTACACAAATTCAATGTATGGGAGCTGTAGCTCCCAGATGCGCTTACCAAACAAGCAAGGTAAACATGAGAGGATATTTTACTACAACATACACGTGGATATTTAAAACTCAAAACAATCTCCACTCAAGGAGCAGAAAAGCTTCAAGGAAGATTTCTCCCCAGGTGAAAGTGATCAAGAGGAACGTCCACTGATGTGCTAGCCTGGTCTCCTGGAATGACCTCACCCCAGTCAGGTTGGACTGTCTACTAGCTCAGGAATACAATAATTACACTGAAGTACTCCATAAACATTCATTGCATTGAAGATCTTCATTTAACAAGTTTATGTGATATTAAGAGGAAAAATAGGGCTCCAGAGAAATCAGACACTTAATTCAGAACCCACTTTGCGCTCATCCCTCATTAGTGGACATAATTACATTACCTCATTGTAACTTTTTCAGTTCTTGTTTGGTACAAAGAGTATTTCATAATGCTGTACACAGCACTAAGTGTAACTCTAATGGAATAGACACAAATCAGACATCAAGAATTATAACATTCAAAAACTAGTCGGAGAATATTTCAACATCCCTGGTCACTCAATTTCAGACCTAAAGGTCACAATTCTCCAACAACAAAAACTTCAAAAACAGACTCCAAAAGAGAAACTGCAGAAATGGAATTAATTTGCAAACTGGACACCACTAAATTAGGCTTGAATAGAGACTGGGAGTGGATGGATCATTACACAAAATAAAAACTATCTCCCCATGCTAATTTTTTCCCATACTGTTACTCACACCGTCTTGTCAACTGTTGGAAACGGGCCATCCTGATTATCACTACAAACGTTCTTTTTCTCCTGCTGACAATAGTCCACCTTAATTGATTGGTCTTGTTACAGTTGGTATGGCAACACCCATTTTTTCATGTTCTCTGTGTATATATATATCTTCCTACTGTATTTTCCACTGCATGCATCCGATGAAGTGGGTTTTAGCCCATGAAAGCTTATGCTCAAATAAATATGTTAGTCTCTAAGGTGCCACAAGTACTCCTCGTTTTTTTCCCTAATGGAATGGATATCTGCATGCAGTAGAGATGGCAGTCACGCAGCAATTTTTTCACTTAGAGTAAAAAACACAGGACAAATTTTGCCCAGGAATAAGAGGGAGCAGCTTCCACTGATGTCAATGAAAGCCCTGATCCTACTCGTACTGTTGGTAAACTCCCAACAACTCAAACAGGACCAAGATCTGGAATGTCAATCAAGACTAATTTTAGCTACTGCCATGGGATAATTGACACTTCATACATTATCTCAATATAAAAAAATGCACTTAATTTCATCAAAGAGTAATGTTTCCAATGGTGCAGTGTCCCCTCTAGCAGAGTGCTGCAATGATAAATTTGAGCTTCTGCCTCTAGAAATCAGTTTCTAGTTTTAATATCAGCCAACCCAAGCTATGAGGGGGAAGGAGTAAAGATACAGTAAACCCAACAGATATTAATATTCAATACTTATAGAGATGAATCAGTACCTGGCAATGTGACGTCAGGTATCCCTGGACATGAACAAAAGGTCTAATGAGTCTATGGAGCCATCCTGTCACATTTTAGTTGCCAAGAAATTGCTATTCAACGACCTCATGATAATTTTCCACACCTGACTGAGAATACTTTGCACTAAGTGTGCCTTTTATTGGATGACCTCAAAGCATTTTACTAAACCTTAACTGAGCTTCAGCACCCCTTGCATGTTGTTAACTGTAATTATATCTATTGTGCTATTGGGGGAGCTGAGGGACAGAGAGACACAAATAACATGATCATGAGAAATCAGTGAGAGTACAACTCCTAGTCCTGTGCTCTAACCACACACTCTCCTGTGTAGCCAATTAGTTCATTTTATCCATATATTATTGTACTGTATGATGTTATGATTAACTCATATGCTATGTTACAAATAATTAATAGATTTAAGTTGTAGAATTATAGAAGTATAAGACTGATAAGTATTTAGAAGTGATAAGTATGCATTAGGTATCTAAGTATAACAGGGCAGAAGGCCGAGGCCTGTAAGATTTTAAGCTTAGTCATACTAGACCATATATGTTTAAGAAGTGCTTGACATAAGTAAATGACCAAAGACTGACCCTATGCCACAGGATCATGAGAAAGATGTGCCAACAGATGGTGTTACAAAAATTGACCGCAAGGTACTGTTTAAAACCATGAGGTATTGATACCCTGTTCTCTTCCAAAATATGTCCTGACATCAGGGTAGATGTTGTGTGTAGATGCTAATGAGAATAAAACAACCTATGAAAAATGGGTTACCCCAATATTCTTGGGGGGCACAATACAGATAAGGAAAATGAGTGTTGACACCTTCATGCATATGCACACAGTATTAGGTGTAGACAGAATCACATGATAAGAGAGGGTGCCTGGATTGGGTAAAATGAGTTACCTATAGGAAAACTCCAGCAGGAGCCAACTCTCTCCTGTGGATCAATTGGCAAGCCATCCATCAGACCCGCAGAATATCGTTGAGGATGTGAGTATGACAACAGTTATAATTATTGCATAGTTTGTTATAGGATTTCTATATGCATAGGTGATTGTAACTTTACTTATTGCTTTAATGCAACTTGTAAAACAGATTAGATCCTGTACTTGTGAATGTATGTGTGGTCACTATCCTTGGTCTTCATGTGTTCCTAAAGGCTCTAAATCTGAAACTGTAGCAACCAGAGCCAAACCCCTGGTGGTATAATACAACATCACTAAATTCACTTTAAATAAAATAAAAGGCTATACCTGTAAGAGATATAGAAAAGAAAAATGCACATGGATAATCTAATTACCTGTAGTAGCTTCCAGTGATGTCTTTTTTTCTTTTGCCCAGGCTACCTTAGGCTCAGATCTCTTACTGTAGACACCCTCTTTATGTTTAATAGCTACAATGTCTAGAGGATTCTCATCCATGGAGCCAAGTACCTTTGCTGGAAAATTTGGAGGAATAGCATCATTTGATCCTATAAATAAAGCAAGCAACATGGTCACAGAGGTTTATGATAACGAATAAAAAGTTAAAGCGAAGCAGCACAGAGAAGGTACAGTTTTAAGAACAGGCCAAACCAGGCCACAACCTAGAGCAGTGGTGGGCTGCAGGGACGTGCAAGCCACTGTTTTTCCACAGCTCCCATTGGCTGGGAACAGCAAACCCCGGCCACTGGGAGCTGTGGGCGGCCGACAGTCAATGTAAACAAACTGTCTCGCGGCTCACGAGCAGATTACCCTGATGGGCCACAGGTTGCTCACCACTAACCTAGAGCTTTCATGTCACAGCAAATCACTGAAAGGCAGCTAACATAGGGAGTTTAATTTATTGCCTGAGTAAGGCATTATTAGTAGTGCATTCAACTAATGAACAACATAGTTCTAGTGAAATAATACCAGCAGCTTAGTTTTTCTATAGCGCCTCTGATCCCACGATCAAAAGATGCTTCCCTCTGAGGTAGGCAAATATTATACCCATTTTACTACAGACAGGCACATAGAGGTTAAGATCACACACTCAGAGGTCCAGACTCCCTCCTGCTGATCTTCATATTCAATTTTAGATATTTTCATTGACTGATGCAAACAGTTATTTTCTGGGATCTGTACAGGGAAGGGATGAAGCAAGCTGACAGACGTATGAAACAGCAGTTAGAGGGATTTTTTTTTCTAGTCCTACTGAATGCTTCTTTAGCTACATAACTAGGTCTGCACAGCCTCTAAACAATAGCTCAAGACAACAACAACACATTTTTCCAGCAGAGCTTCCACAGCACCACATTTCTGTGTCCTATGAGTCTGAAAGCCTAAAGAGACAGTTAACGGATTTCTATTCTTTGGCAACACCATCCAGTTACATTCAGTGGCCTTATTCAACTCAATTTTCTTCAGATTGTTCTCATGAACTACGAGTCCTAACTGCAGCAGGGAATTTAGAATCATAGAATATAAGGGTTGGAAGGGACCCCAGAAGGTCATCTAGTCCAACCCTCTGCTCGAAGCAGGACCAAATCCCAGTTAAATCATCCCAGCCAGGGCTTTGTCAAGCCTGACCTTAAAAACCTCTAAGGAAGGAGATTCTACCACCTCCCTAGGTAACGTATTCCAGTGTTTCACCACCCTCTTAGTGAAAAAGTTTTTCCTAATATCCAACCTAAACCTCCCCCACTGCAACTTGAGACCATTACTCCTCGTTCTGTCATCTGCTACCATTGAGAACAGTCTAGAGCCATCCTCTTTGGAACCCCCTTTCAGGTAGTTGAAAGCAGCTATCAAATCCCCCCTCATTCTTCTCTTCTGCAGGCTAAACAATCCCAGCTCCCTCAGCCTCTCCTCATAACTCATGTGTTCCAGACCCCTAATCATTTTTGTTGCCCTTCGCTGGACTCTCTCCAATTTATCCACATCCTTCTTGAAGTGTGGGGCCCAAAACTGGACACAGTACTCCAGATGAGGCCTCACCAATGTCGAATAGAGGGGAACGATCACGTCCCTCGATCTGCTCGCTATGCCCCTACTTATACAGATTTTTAAAAATACTGTTGTGTGTTTTCTAGAACCTGAGCTGCATCATGTCTACATTGCATTTGCACTGTTAGCACCCTGGTTCCTAAAAAGCCCACACATCACATCTACCTCTCTCTTCTCCCTTACATTACAGCAGACAGAATGGGTGAAGATTAGGAAACATGTGGAGACAGATTTGGAAGCCTGACCTTTGCTTTTACTTCTGTAATTTTTCAGATAAGATTACTGTGGACACAGTTGTAGCTGTAATTATTATCCAGTATACCTGTATACCAGGGAGTTAAGACAACATCTTCATAACATTAACTGTGGCTGCAAATTTCTGTGGGTGCCAAAAGGGAGACCAGGTTGAAGTATACCTGAAAATCAGGCCTATAATGTCTGTTATGAGCAGCAATTGCTGTACATAGCAACCATATTTAGAGAGAAGCAGGGCAGAATATGCTGATGAATCATTCTCTTTCTTCCACTCCGCTAGCACTTTTTGAAACACAACTATAAACCACTTTAAGAAAAAACAAGTTTCTAATCTGAAATCACCTAACTTGGGGCTACCTTAAAAACTCCGACAGGTTTCAGAGTAACAGTCGTGTTAGTCTGTATTCGCAAAAAGAAAAGGAGTACTTGTGGCACCTTAGAGACTAACCAATTTATTTGAGCATAAGCTTTCGTGAGCTACAGCTCACTTCATCGGATGCATACTGTGGAAAGTGTAGAAGATCTTTTTATATACACACAAAGCATGAAAAAATAGTTATGGGTAAGGACAAAGTCACAAAGTTCAGCCACCAGGTTAGCCGTGACATTATCGGGGATAGTGTTCTTGATGGCTTGTAGTTCATCTTTGTGTGGAATGTTGGTGGCTGAACTTTGTGACTTTATCCTTACCCATAACTATTTTACATTTGGGGACAATGTATACCTTCAGATCAGCGGCACTGCTATGGGTATCCGCATGGCCTCACAGTATGCCAACATTTTTATGGCTGACTTAGAACAATGCTTCCTCAGCTCTCGTCCCCTAACGCCCCTACTCAACTTGCGCTATATTGATGACATCTTCATCCTCTGGACCCATGGAAAAGAAGCCCTTGAGGAATTCCACCACGATTTCAACAATTTCCATCCCACCATCAACCTCAGCCTGGTCCAGTCCACACAAGAGATCCACTTCCTGGACACTACAGTGCTAATAAACAATGGCCACATAAACACCACCCTATACCGGAAACCTACTGACCGCTATTCCTACCTACATGCCTCCAGCTTTCACCCAGACCACACCACACGATCCATCGTCTACAGCCAAGCTCTACAATACAACTGCATTTGCTCCAACCCCTCAGACAGAGACAAACATCTATAAGATCTCTATCAAACATTCTTACAACTACAATACCCACCTGCGGAAGAGAAGAAACAGATTGATAGAGCCAGAAGAGTTCCCAGAAGTTACCTACTACAGGACAGGCCTAACAAAGAAAATAACAGAACGCCACTAGCCGTCACCTTCAGCCCCCAACTAAAACCCCTCCAACGCATTATTAAGGATCTACAACCTATCCTGAAGGATGACCCAACACTCTCACAAATCTTGGGAGACAGGCCAGTCCTTGCCTACAGACAGCCCCCCAACCTGAAGCAAATACTCACCAGCAACCACATACCACACAACAGAACCACTAACCCAGGAACCTATCCTTGCAACGAAGTCCGTTGCCAACTGTGCCTACATATCTATTCAGGGGACACCATCACAGGGCCTAATAACATCAGCCACACTATCAGAGGCTCGTTCACCTGCACATCCACCAATGTGATATATGCCATCATGTGCCAGCAATGCCCCTCTGCCATGTACATTGGTCAAACTGGACAGTCTCTACATAAAAGAATAAATCGACACAAATCAGATGTCAAGAATTATAACATTCATAAACCAGTCGGAGAACACTTCAATCTCTCTGGTCACGCGATTACAGACATGAAAGTCACTATTTTTACAACAAAAAAACTTCAAATCCAGACTCCAGCGAGAAACTGTTGAACTGGAATTCATTTGCAAATTGGATACAATTAACTTAGGCTTGAATAGAGACTGGGAGTGGCTAAGTCATTATGCAAGGTAACCTATTTCCCCTTGTTTTTTCCTACCCCCCCCCCCCCCGACGTTCTTGTTAAAACCTGGATTTGTGCTGGAAATGGCCCACCTTTATTATCATACACATTGTAAGGAGAGTGGTCACTTTAGATAAGCTATTACCTGCAGGAGAGTGGGGTGCGAGGAGGTATTTTTTCATGCTTTGTGTGTATATAAAAAAGATCTTGTACACTTTCCACAGTATGCATCCGATGAAGTGAGCTGTAGCTCACGAAAGCTTATGCTCAGATAAATTGGTTAGTCTCTAAGGTGCCACAAGTACTCCTTTTCTTTTTTCTTAAAAACTCTGATATACCTTCCTTAATACATGGTATCATATTACACTTCAGAATGCATCCATAACAAGCTAAACAGAAAAGGAACATTTTAAGAGGAGATTTAAAGCAGGGAACTAGATCAGGATGGATGGGAGGACCGCTGAAGAAATGAAACAGGCCCAAATGAAGAAGCAATTCCAAGTGGAAAGAGAAGAACTAAAGGAAAATCTGCCAGGTTGTGTGAAAAACATACACACTTCTCCTTTCAGTCCCAACAGACAGAGGTAATGAAGTCTCTGACTAGAGAAGTCTAGACCACATCTTTCAAATCCAGGATGTCACATCTTTATGTTACAAAGCTAAAAAACATAAGTGGCATAAATATACTGGGACAAGATTCTACTCACAGTTTCACAGAGTAAATCCAGATAAAGTAACTATTAAAAATCAGTGGAGTTACTCAAGATCTGCTTGTTGTAACAGCTGAATTTAACTCATTAGAACATTCTGCAGTTGCATTATGCATACTTAGCCCTATTGACTACAGCAAGAGCTTAGAACTATGCATTCAGACTCAGGATAGAATTTGGCTCAGTTTTGTAAAAGTTTTTAGAAATGTAAATACCTGAGTGAGAGCTCTCAATAGTGGTCTCTGACCTGACAGGAGATATTTTGGGTCCTTTCATCGGATGGGGAACATAATACATCTCGGAACTTCCAGAAGGCTTATATGGCAACAACAGAGGCTGATCTGCAGGAATGGAGAGCAGTGCAATTAACAGAAATCAGCAAAGCCTAAAACTGTAATAAGCCGAGGTCACAGATAAGGACCCAAAAAGATCCTGGAAGATCCTGGATGATTTAACTGGGAATTGGTCCTGCTTTGAGCAGGGGGTTGGACTAGATGACCTTCTGGGGTCCCTTCCAACCCTTATATTCTATGATTCTATGATTCTATGTGCTGCATAGATTGTGTTCAGTTTGCAGTTTACTATTTCCCTAGAGCAGCAATTCTCAACTAGGGGCCCGGGGCTCCCCTGGGGGACCACGAGCAGCTTTCAGGGGGTCCACCAAGGGCCGGTGTTAGACGCTCTGGAGCCCAGGGCAGAAAGCCAAAGCCATGCCTCACAGTGCTGAAGCCTGGGGCCCCAAACCCCATCACCCAGGGCTGAGGCCAAAACCTAAGCAACTTAGCTTCGTGGGGCCCCCCTGTGGTTTGGGACCCCCGTTAATTGCTCTGCTTGCTACCCCCTAACACTGCCCCTGGCTTTTATATGCAGAAAAACAGTTGTTGTGGCACAGGTGGGCTGTGGAGTTTTTATAGCATGTAGGGGGGGCCTCAGAAAGAAAAAGGTTGAGAACCCCTGCCCTAGAGAATATGCTCTTTAAAAAGAATGATCAGAAAGGAGTCTACCTGCTAGTTAGAAAGCTGACCCGCTTATAGCTAGAAAGGATGACTTAATCATTTATAACATTCCTTAAAGATTAATAAAATGTGTGACTAGTGAGACCTGTAATAAATTTAAAAAGCTCATTTACATACCAACATTGCTCACTGTGAGTAATAACTAATGAAATCACCTGCCTGTGTTTAGGTCAACAAATATAACATGCAACTATGGTGCAACTCCACTGGAAGATTCTGTTTGCTGCAGGTGGCAAGGGCTGGAGCACTTAGTGAAGATAAACAATTGTTCAAGTAGCTGAAAGGATATCTTTGTATTCCCATTTAAACAGAGCTGGAGGTCTTCACATATTGAAGGCATCTGATCTCTTCTCACCCCATATGCACACAACTGACTGATGTTGCTTTACACAACACCTCAAAGAGGAGAGAGACCCAGAGTTTGGAACAGAGGAAATATTATAGAAACTGAATGAGTCTACATACACTTGCATTGTGCAGCAGCAATCACTGGTGTAAAGAGGTACAATTTGCACGGCCTGCACCAATGTGAGTTAATCTGCCACGTGAGTTCAGATTTTATTGGGGTATATATCATCACTACCACATTCTCTCTCTCAGTAGCTGTGTAAATAAATTATTTTGCCCACAGAGTAATATACGATTAGTTACCTGCCAACTCAAAGGTCTCTGAGCACCCTCATGATTTCTAATATGCATCATTTTAAATAACAATTTTAAAAATAAGTTCATTTAAAAAAAAAACCCTTTGTTTCTCCCACTAAGTGCACAAGAATCAAAACATTTGACTTGACAGGTTGTGTGGAAGAGGAAAGATTGTAGATTCATGGAAGACACTTTGATTTTCTCACCAGCTGGCCTGTGGGAAGGCGAAATGTGGTTCAGAGATGAAGTAGCTAGGTTAGCGATTTCACATGCCCTTTGGTGAGAGGACCCAAAGGAACTGGTTTCACCATCTTCATTGCTCATATATATCTCTGCTGAAAATGTTGTCTTTTCAGGACTTTCTGTTGTTATCTGAGTTATGGCATCAGATGTTGCCTTTCCAGTTTGTGCAGAAACTGTGATCTTGAAATTATCCTGCAGATTATGTCCACATGAATCCAAAACTCTGGTGTGAGCCTGACTTGAGAATGGTACCCTCTGGCTACTTTCCAGAGGCATATATCTTAAATCTTGTGAAGATATTGGTTTTGGGAAGTGTGAAGAACTTTGATCCTTTGGGATAGATTCAGTAGTTAATAATTTAGAGGCAGATTCTAACAAAATTTTGGGGGGAGAGCTTGAAAGCATTTGTTGAGCAACAGTCTTAAGTCTGTCATTAGATCTTGTTTCAGCTTCAGCATCCAATATACTGACCAGTTCTGAATTAAGTTTTGGGGAGAGAGTTATGTGGACACAAGACAGTGCTTTCCTGGTTGGAGATGAAGGAGATTCAGGCATGGCGGTTAAAGTTTTATCTGGGGAAGGACAATGTGTCACATTGGCATGTCCGGTCTCAACATTTGTCTGGCTGACGGAGAACATATCAGAAGAAAGTTTATCCTTTTCCAACGAATTACCATGGTCTTTAAGCAAAAGGTTTTGTAGGCTATGAACTGGACCTTCTGAGCTATCTGCAAAGGGTACCTGGTTGTAGAGATTCATCTTTCCCTGCTGATGAGGACTCATGGAAAGAGGTTGATAAAACATATTTACTTCTTGATCAAATTTCATATCACGATCAACCCCAGAAAATTTGGAACTATGTCTGCCAAACCCAAGAGTATCGTGAGTGGAAGATTCAGCTTCCTCAACACTATCTGCAACTAGGGTCAGTCCTTGGTCAGTGTATGTGGTTATAGAACCTTGACCTGATAAAATTTCTTTTTCTCGAGAAGTTCCAAGTTTGCCAACAGCAATGGGCACATGTTGAAACCTGTCTTTATCTGCACTAAACTTAAAATCATTATCATGTGAGTGAGTGGCTGTTGGGCTTGACGAAGGACATGATTTAGAACTTTCCACTTGTTGCTTGCCAGGTCTCTGGTCTTTAGCACTAACAGATACAATTTCAAAAGGCATTATACCATGAAGAGTATCTTCACTGAGACTGCCACTAGGGACAGTGGAAGCTAATGGAGACTGGGATCGTTTACAGGATGCAAAAGTGATGGAAGTAATCTGCTTCGCAACTTCTACAGAAGGCTTTTCTGTAGACTGCCTCTTCTGAGATGAAAGAATCACATCCTCTTCTTTTGGTGCACAGGAGCCATCCACCAATCCCAATGAAAATTTATCCATATCTTTACACAAGGGTGTGTGGAGCTCAATGCTAGCATCAAAGGGATTAGGTCTGAGCGTCTGCAGCTGATGGTAGATATGTTTTTGGATGGTATTCAAAGCTTTAAACTGTGCATCATCTAGTGGTGAATAATCAGCAGGGTCACTTCTATATATTGGTGTGACCGGTCTTGTGTTTGACTCTGGAGACTCATTAAGTTTGAAATCTTGTGTCTGGCTGTCAATTTGCAACTGTTTGCCAGCTGGAGATTTGAAGTGTCCTGTGTTCTGCCTCCGACTATGGCTGTGACTCATTATAGCCTCTGAATTGTTTCCCCATGGATCCTGTAAATGCAAAAAAACCACAAAGATTCTTGAAAAAAATAAATAAATTGTGCAATAAGAATTTAACAATTCAAGTAAGGACTAAAGTTGGCAATAACCCTATTTTTGCCATCACACAGAAAATACAAACATTTTGGAACACAACTGCTAATATGACTGTAAACATAACAAGACTGGCCTTCAGGTATGCCAGAAAAGCAGTCAGTTTCAATGCCACAATATACAACACGATCACTGTAATTTACCTTTCTAACAGTATTCTTCAGGGTTTGGTTTTATTGTAATAAAATAGACAATATATAGATTTTCTTGAGATAGGGAGGAGGCAAGCTGTAAGTACTTCTTATTGAACAAAACTTGCTCACTTCATTCACTGGGATCTTGCTCTCCCACTTCGCTACCCCACCAGCTGTTTGTTTCATCCATCCTGTCCCATCTTGTTATAAGCCTAGATTATAAAGTGTTTGGAACAGAGACTGTCTTCTTACTTCTCATTTGTACTGTGTCTAGCACAGCAGAACTCAGATCCCCAACTGGGGCCTCTAGACATTAAGAAATGACAAATATTGATATGGTTAGGCCATTAGCTACTTAGGAGAGGACCTGACTGATTACTATGGGACACTACTGCTGTCAGACATCTTGCATTCCATAGCTGTCACTGTAAGAAATAAAACGGGGCACATAAAAATTCTCCCTTGTTCCACTCCAACAGAGTTTAAGAAGCCAAGTGCACGTATGCTTCACACACAAATCAAAGAAAGCTTCAATTACTGATAAAAGCAAAGCAAAAAGCTATTCTTGAAACTGATACATGAGAAAAGTCTTCAATTAAAGTTTGGTGATTTTAATTCTCACATTTAATAGTTCCTTTTTTTTTGACTAAGAAACAAATCTTTCCAACAGCAGTCTAAGCATTAGATCTGCAACAGTGCTCTTTCTGCAAGCCAATGTCAAACTGACAAGAAAATTAAAACAGAATTCAAAAAATATCCAGAGTTTAAGAAGCCACTATTAGTTAGCAATAACTTTTCACTCTCCAGACATATGTCATCTTTTTTCCTATTAAAATATACATGTATTCCATAAGAACATTCTTTTGTTTTACAAAAACTGGTAAGACTGCTTGCAACTGTACTGGAAGTAAGAGTGGAGGGGTAGGGGAGAAATCTTTAGATTTCTAAAACCAGACCAGTTACTTACCAGTAAAGCCACCAGGTAAAAAACTCAGTCAGCATTTTTAATGTTTTCAATCACGTATAAAAGTTGATGTTAATTGTGATAATGATCCTACACTTATAGAACACCTTTAATCCCAAAGCACTTTACAAATGTAAAATTAACATTGAAACTATACACAGGAATTACTTAATCGACCACTGAAACACAGGCACCTCTGGTATGAAATGTGCAACTGCACAATAATTTAGGACACAGAGATAAAAACAGACTTGCCTTGGCAACAACAAAACCTAAATAACAAAAAAACTAAATAAAACATGGTATAGCCCATCAATTAATCAGAAAATAAGTGCTGCCCTACTTTCTGATGATTCTTTCTCCTGGTCACATGATGTTCTGTTTGTCAGATCTCTTGTCTTTCATCTATTAGTGTGCTATCTTGCTAACATGGGCAACTGAAGTAAATGGCAAAATTTCCATTAATTTAAATGGCAGGAGTTTGCCCTTCAATTGTTAACTCCTTTGTGTATAGACTATATCTTCCTCTATATTCTGCTCTTTAATTTCTAAACAATAAACTGAAGCTTGGTGTCTCTGCACAGTCATTTGCGGACAGTTGCATACCAACAAGTACACAATATGCTGACACAGACCTGAAAGATACTTTAGCCAGCTCTGGTTACTGTGCCAAATTTGTTTACTGTAATGTAGTACTAAATAATGCACATAAAAGTATGCCGATATAAGGTTTGAACATACCAGACTCTCTGCTCTCTTTCAAGCTTTCATGATAAATAATGGACATTTTAAGGTGTTATATTTACCCCTATATAGTAGTGAACGTATGTGCAGACTTACCAAGGATAACCACCACTCAAAACAAGGCTTTTTGTTTTTAGATATGTCTCTTGCAGGTTTGTTGATTTGTTTTGTTTAACAGAAGAGAATAAAACCTAGGTTCCCAAGAATATCTTTATTAGGGAAGGAGCACCAAACAAACAGCTTCTCTCTGCAGCAGCTTACCTGATAGATCTAACAGGTGGCATCTTTAAAAGAAAAACTAGAAATAAAATACACCTCTACAGAGCAAATCACACTGTAAACAAGTCGACAGGTAAGTAAACAAACACCAAACTCCCAGATGCATGCAGAAAATTCTCAACTAGCAGTCTAAAATTCCTTAAGTCAAAGGGGTATGCTAACTAAAGAGAGGCCACACGGTTTAACCCCACTGCAGACAGCACTGAGATGCATCAACCACACTCCACACAACATGCTAGAAAACCGCTCTCTCTTACATCACTTCATCCTATCACCTTTAGTTACAAATTAGCATCAGAAGCAGTGCCATGATCACCACATACTGGAAATAGACAAGAAACATTTTTGATCAGCAAATTTTACATCAATCTCTTTAGAGCCCACATTTGCTCCATAAAACCTCAATCCCTGTCCAATTTCTTTAGAAATAGAGAATTTCATTGACAGGGACGAAAGTGTATTATTTTTAAGATACCAGTATTTGCATTCCTTTAATTTAGATTCATTCAAAATTGACGGACTTTCCACTGATGCTGTGAAGAGCTAACGTGAAATAAATTATATTGACCTGGACAAAGTTTAGATAGTCCTGTTTTTGCTTAGAAAATCTATGTAGTTTGTTAATTTATCTTCTGATCTGTACAACTGGGGAAAATGTAATCTTACATTTCATTAGTAGAAGGCGATGTGGATGTCTGAACACGTACTGTTCCAACAGCTAGAGTAAAGGAATGAGCAAATAAAGCCAGCCACAGTAGAACTGGAAATGGTCTTGTGTAAACCGTGAGTTAAATATATAATCCTGGACAAGCTGTTTGACGTCCAAAATGTCATTGGAAATTAAATACTTTGATCATTTGATCAAGAAAACCTTCAAGACAAGCATTAGGTTCATTCTTCCAAACCACACCTTTTGAGGCATTATCTATGCTAGAAAAGTACAAGCAATTAACTAACATTGATTTAAAAGTCAGTCAAGTTAAACTGATAAAAAGCCCTAACAGATGCATTTAAATCCGTTTACCCTTTACCTATATCAATTTAGCTTCAGTCAGTAATTTACCAAGACTAAACCAACTTAAGTAAGGAATAAATCGATTTAAGTGTGTCATATTAAAAGGGTTTACACCAGTTTAACCAGAGAAATTTAAAAAATCTGTTTAGTTAAACTGGTGCACTTTTCTAGAAGAGAGGAGGTCTTAGACTCCCGACTTCCCCCTTGCAACAGGAATGCCAAGGTTCTGCTACAGCTCCAGGCACCAAAAACCCATATGAACCATTTTAAATTTCCTCTTACTGTCCTTAATAAAAATACAATTATAAGGCGGCATGTCTGGACAGGTTTTTCCTACATGGCAAATCATCAGAAAAATTAATCAAGTTAACCACAGTACGTTTTTGTTGTTATTTTTAACTGACTATTCAAAGACAAAATCTAAGAACATGTTAGAGTGCATGCATGCTTTCCCAATGAATAAATAAAAGACAGTGTGAACTAATTCAGCCCAAAATTTATCTTACTCTCTTCATTTACAAAATGTATAATCTAATATAAATACAAATGTTTTTTAAAATCTTTTCATAGAAGTATTTTAAGTTAACAAAGGTTTTTTATCTCCAATTTACATGACATCTTGCAGTACTGTGAAGCCAAATATATGCTAGAGCATGAGAACCAGAAATAAACTGACTAGCAGTATAGTTTCATTGCCCAAATTAAGCAAAATGCAAAAATGGTGAAAAATAGGCATTCAGATACCATGGTGATTAACACAGTACTACAACAAACAATCCCAAATATAAATCAGATTTTTAAAATTTTCCATTTTAGTAATTTGAAGTGCTGTTAGTAACAAACTTTTTTAAAATTTTATTTTAATGATATTCCTTTAAAAATACATTAAATCACCATGACTGCCCAAATTAAACTAGTAAAGGCAAGAAAATAGTTAAAAGCAGAAATGCATAAACTCTTCCCCACTGTGCCTAAGTATCCAAAAATCTGAGCCGTGAGTAAACTTACATATCATACCAAACCTAACCTCAGAGTGGTTTTTACCCACAAAAGCTTATCTGTTAGCCTTTAAGGTGCCACTGGGCTCCTCGTTGCTTTTGTGGATACAGACTAACACGGCTAACCCTCAAATACGGGTTTCTTGGAGGTGTACCGTTTCTTTGGAAGTAGCAGATCTGAATACTGTGAGTATCCAGTGGAACAGATGCTGGAATCTCCAGGGAGACGCTCGGAGATTGGGACGTGCCTATTGCTAACCTGTAGAGAGACAGCAGGGCCTGCGTACATCTAGAGGGGAGTACTTGTGTTGCCTGTGGCTGATGGGGCTGAGGTGCTTGCTGACCCCCAGCAGGCACAGACATGGCCTCATCACGCTAAGGGCAAGTGGTAGTGAGGTGCCTCAATTCTGGGTGCCTCTGGGAAGCATCACAATGGCTGAGTCACAGGATCTACAACCCATTTGCTGTTTAGCCAAAGGTCACACTCCAGGCACTTATATATCAGATTATATAAATACTGAGAAGGTTGGAAACAGGTAAAGAAAAAGATTATAGATTGTTATTTTCCATTTGTTTTATTTGGGTAAGGAAAATAGAACAAAGGGAAGGACAGGATGAGTAAGCCAGAGACATATGCTAAACATACCAATTTGCAGACGGAAAAACTCTGTGCAGACCATGGCTTGGAAACTACAGGGAAAACAGGACAGGGGATGAGAACTTTACTCATGGAATATGATAAGCATCAGGTAGAACTGTTTAAT